CTTTCGAGGTTGATTTGTTTTTCGCTTCGAACTGAGCCTGAATGTAGGCAGCCGCCTCGCCATACTCCTGACCGCCTACAAGCCAAACGAAAATTAATAATAATTAATATCAGAATTCTCATTCGTTCCTTCCCTCCCATCTCAGTTACTCACCTGTGTATTCGGGAAAGCAAATTGTCAGCGGACTCTTGCGTATCTTCTCCTCGAACAGATCCTTCTTGTTCAGGAACAATATAATCGAGGTATCCGTAAACCATTTGTTGTTGCAAATGGAATCAAACAGCTTCAGCGACTCTTGCATGCGGTTCTGCAGTGGGTAAGAGAATGATTTGTTATTTTTAATTATTTTAGTCTTATAGTTGAGCGCGTTTGTAGTTACCGTAGTTTCGTCCTCATGCAAGACCTGATCGTATTCGGACATGGCAACGCAGAAAATAATCGCTGTCACATCCTCAAAGCAATGTATCCATTTCTTGCGCTCAGATCGCTGGCCGCCCACATCAAACAATCTAGAAAAGATATAATGGCGATTTTTTTATTGAGAAGTAACAGAGTTTTACTGCTAAAGTCCATCTTATTCTCATGAATACTATCCATAATGATAACCTACTCTTAATAGTTTAATGTGATTAAAAAGCTTCTTTTCTCCTGCTTCTCCTTTCTATTCATCAAAACATTTTTCTCAATGCTCTATATACATATATGGTTTATGTGTTATATTTTCTATTCATTCAGATAGCATTCTTTTTCATAATATACAGTCGAGTCCCGACAATTCGAAATGGCTAGCGAAAAAGTATTTTTTTCTATTTACACTAAACTAAAAATTATCGAGAATTATCGAGTTTTCGATATTTTTTAAGGGGATGGAATGTGTTTCATGATTTATCTCGATTTTCTATGTTTAGCGGTTTACATATTATCGAGACTACGATATTATAATATTATATTTATCTAGTAAATTTGAATTTGTTGTTCAACTTACTTGAAGTTGAGATTTTTGAAGGAGAAATGAACCTCGACAATGCCGGTGGTCTTGACTCGGGTGCGCAAGATGTCCTGCTCGGTAGGCTGATAGTCCTTGGCGCCTAACCGATCCAAATCGTCCAGGAAACTGCAAAGAGCAAACAGACAGCGGTCATTAGTAAGGGCTGTTACGCCATTTTGATGGGTAGGTTGGGCAAGGGGCAATGGGGTGGTGGGGCAGGCTCAAGTGTTTGACTAGCTGCAGCTGGTGGCGGGGCAAACACACACACACGCACACACACACACACAGAGGCAATTTGAGGGCGCAGGCGAAGCGCTGTGCAAACAATTAAAATGTAGCAAAAATGTAGGCGCTGCCAAGTGGCGGCACACGCATAGATACAAATGTATCTGACAGATACAAATGTGAGCAAAGAGACACAGATAGATATATAGACAGTCTCGCAATCTTTGTTGGCGGCCACATAATTAGCTTGATTTGTGACTCTCAATCAGTCAAAGGTTGCGTGTTCAACAAGTGGGTCAGCTCCAAATAGAAATTAGAAAAGAAAAAAAATATATACATACATATGATACAACATAAAGTGAAATGTGGCAGCAGAAGTCGAAGTCCGACTTCGGCTATGCCAGCGAGTCCAGATCTTGGCCGTAATTGCGGCGACGCACGCAATAAATTGCCAAAAAAAAAAAAAAAAAACACACACACAAAACAAAAGCAAACTAAATGCAGGTGTTTGGCGCAGGTAAACCGAAAAGCCCAGTTGTCTAAGGTCTTTTTAGATGGGTCGTAAATAAGTTTTTCATTTCTTGCTCTTGTGCGTTTTGTCTTCTATGAATCTTATTGTTATTGTGGCAATTACAACTGCTTTTGTGGCCAACTCGGTTGCTTGTGTATTTTTTGATTAACGCGACTTGCTCAACTTTGTAGTTGTTGTTGTTGTTGTTGCTTCTTTTAGTGGACCCCATTGATCATAGTGGAACAAAGTCTGGCAACGCTGTCGCAAATGCAACAGCCAAGGATGGCCGGGGGAAAATTAGCCAAGTCACGCTTGCCATGCTCCAAATATGTTTGCCATAACCGCAACATCGGCCACACGACCGACCCATTCAAGCGGAAAACTTTACTGCATAATACTCTAAATAAACCTATATATAGTATATATGTATGTATGTTTACTGTGCATGCCCAGACGTAAGCCTTAGAGGCACTGTAAACATTTGTTACATTTATATGGCACACGCTAATCAAAACTTATTCACAATTTTCACTCTTCGATGATCGGCGAACGCTCGAGTCTTATCTACGTAATGCCTTCGGTCTATATACATATATATTGCATCATGCGCCATTCAGTTAGCACTTACTGTAGCCACAGAGAAAGAGAGAGAGAGAGAGAGGGGGAGCCTGAGAGAGAGTGAGAGTGAAGCACATAATAAAAAGTTTCTGGCTTCACCAGAGAAGAAGAAAAAAGCCTGCGACCAAAAGTTAAAAAGGTCAAAAAATAGAAACTGGCTGTAAATAATGTTTGCATAGGTCTAAAATGTATAACCATTCTAAATTGATTAACCTCGGGCTGCTTTTTAACGAGCCCTGCATAGCAGAGCAAATGAAACTGTATTTTTAGTTGTTTTCATTAAATTATTTTTGCTTTTGTTTGCTCAACTTTGTTTGTCTTCACTTTTCAATTTGAACTCCATTATTTATGCCAAACAATTTAAAATTAGCTCAAAATAATGATATTATTTTATCTATCATTTTTAAATATTTTTTAAATGTAACTATACAGTAAAAAATATATTTAATGTCAATTTTGGTCAATTCCCTAAAATAATATTTAATAATATTAAAATGAAATAATTGTTTATTTATTATATATTTTATTATAATTAATTTCTTAAGATAATATTGAAATAAAATAATCGTTTATTTATTATATATTTTATTATATATTATTATATATATTTTATAGTTTATTTTGATTATTTATTTCTAACATTTTTATTAGTTGTTCTCCTTGATATATTTTTGAGTTTTTAATAAATTAGTTTAATCAGCCGCATAGTATAAATTCTCTACAAATATATTTTAAATGTATTTTATTTTTTATTCAATTTAAATAACATAATCCAAGCAAATGGCAGTAAAAAAAACGAGTTTACTATTTATGATGCTGAAATTCTCGCCTTGACAAAAAGGCAGCCAACTGTTAAGGGTACTTAATATGCTTTATGGCTGAGTGCATTAAGTAAATTTCTTATGCAATTTCCAGGGGGAGATGGCAGATGGGAAAACGACAGAGACAGATAGGCTGCATAAACGCATCGTTAGTCTTCATGCAAATTTCTGTATTTGTATATTTCGATTTATTTTCATTTTCATTTTATTGCTCATTTTAGGCAATTTCCTAATGCCGCCCGACATTTGGGCCTACACGAAATTAAAAGTAAATAAAAGTAGATAAAACACTGATCAAATTGATTAAAATGATTTAAAGCGCGTAAATAACCGTTACGAACTAATGTTGGAAACAAACTTTTGCTTTTTAGTCAGATTGATTAGCGGCTAACACTTTCAGTTTCAAATGGTCAGCGAAGAAGAAAGAGCCAGCCGAAAGATAGAGCGCGAGCGAGAGAGGGAGAGGCAAAGAGGAAGAGAGCAGCAGAGAGAGAGCGAGAGAGACATGACAATTAGCGGGCGTATCTTAACAATAAAACCAACAGTGGAAGCCGAAATTAAAAAAAAAAAGGCTGAAATCACGAAACTGCTAAGAGTCGAGTGCTCTGATACCCTGTCTGTGAATGGCAGCCAAGAGAGTTGTTAAACATCAATTTATATATTCAAAAGGTAATTAATTTGATTGATAATATTAAATTTGATATATAGCGAGCATTCTATATTTTAATTTATATATATTTTGCAAGCTTTAGATAGAGTATTTGTTGACTATAACTAAGCAATAAATTAGCAAATTTCAATACACTCAATGTCAGTTTAGGTATTTGAAGAACTTACAGAGAAGTTCTAACCATATTATTTGCCATCGGCTATCGCCTTAGTCTAGCTGCTCTTTCTGGTTAATTGTTGATTTAATAGTAAACAAATATATGACATAACCCCTGCAAATTTCCAAGAATATTTAACAAAAATATTCAAATAAAGCAGAAGCTGTTTAATATATATTTGCTATTATTTAATAATTTAACCGTTGTGTATATCTAGCATCAAGGCCGCCATATGAATTATATTTAAATATTATGCTATAAAATAATAGCATAAAAAAATATATATATAAACAATATCGACATATATAAAACAGAAAAGTACGTACTATATATTTATATAGATAAATGTATAATAAATAAAAAATGTCTATTAAAATTAATTTGATCTACTTCAACAACAAAAATTTATGGAAAACTATTGGCAAAGTAAAAGTAAAATGTTACATTTTTAATTTAAACGTAAAAAATAATATATTTAAAAACTTATAATCATAAAAATATATGAAAAAATTGCATTTATGTATAAAAAAGCGAATTGAGAGAGAATTTTTAAATGAAAAGGTAATAAATTATTAAATTGAATTAACTTTCATAGTTTTATAATTTAAATACAATGCATAAATTAATTTTTTGTCTAGTGCAAAAAACAAATATAAAAACATCTATATAAAGTATGTCGATATACATATATAAATATTATTAGAATTATAATATTTACTTATAAATAATATATTTATTATTTTGTTTTATTATTCGATAACGTTACACATTTCATATGCCAACAATGACGCCCCCAACACTGGCCTAGGGTATTCCAACAATAGCTTGTGCTTCAGCTTGGAATTGCTCACGCACACAGCTCCAATTGGCGGCGCACGTAGACCAAACTCTAACCAGTCCGCCGTGCCGGACTGGACCGGAGCGGAATTGATGCGGTGCGCTGCTCTGCGCTGCGCTGCGGGACGGCCTGAGCTTTTCGACAATCCTATAAGTAGACTAAGAAGCGCTGCGATCGCGTTTAGTGCGTCGCGTTTGCTCTACGAGGCAGCTGGCAAAAGCGGAGCTACGACTTTCGGTTTCTATTCGCCAACGAGTTTGCAAGTTAGCGTGACGCTTTGATGTTTTAAGTGGAAGTGGAAGTGCCACACCAAGTGAGTGAAGCTACCAGCAAGACATACATATATACATATCTGTTATAAGTGAGTGTGAGACTGTGTGTGAGTGTGTGTGTGTGTTTGTGAAAATGACAATAGGAAATCGCAACCGGGTTTTAGTTTGGACAAAAGATAAATTGAACACAAATGCTGTAAGCGTTGACAAGTGAAGCCAAAGCTGAAAGCTGGCAAAGGCCATAAAAAGGCCGCCGAAAACTTGGCCAAATGCTGCAACAACAATGACAACAACAAAGACGCTAACAAAACAAAACTAGTTAAAGTGCAATGCACTTCATTCCGCTGTCAGTTATTTGCCATTGCAAGTGAGGCGTGAAAAGGCAGCTAAAAACGCCAACATTGAAAGGCTTTTGACAAGTGCAGAGCAAACAAATGGAGGCGTGGCAGCAGCAGCAGCAGCATCAGCAGCTGCTGCGGCAACCGTAACGCCTCAACTGCCACACCTCAATTCGCATAATTTATAGATCTCGCATTGGATATCAATCGCTTCGCTGTTGCAATGACAAAACAAAACAAAAATATCGACAAAATATTCAAAAATGAAAACGAAATCGCCAATACATAAAAGACTTGCTAAAATATTTGATCAAATGTCATAATTTATGCGTCCCGCAACTTTCTACAGAGCTTTAGCTGTAAATACTACAATATATATATATATATATATTTAACATTTGTGCGCTAATGAATAGAATCTTTTGTGTGTCTGCTGCATTTGCAAAATGCGCAAAAAAAAAGACGATTTCGATTTCGATTTCGCCTTCAGTCGTGCGCAACGTTGCCTTGAAAAGCAGCTAGAACAATGTGGGCCACAAGTGGCTGCTAAGGGCGCCGCTGCCAGTGGGAGTGGAAAGAAAACAAACTAACGTTAGACAACTCAATGGAAACTAAAAGCTTGTAGCCTTTCAAGCGAAGCCATGGTACAGTTTGCTTGCTCCAAAGCGAGAGACTTGAATAAATTATGAATAAGTGAAATGAAACATACATTTTACTCATGCTAGAAAAGACTTGAGTTGGCTGACTCAAGACGGAGTCAGGTGGCAATAAATAGAAGGAAATTTAGAGAGATATTAAAAATTATATAAATAAATCAATATATATATATTAAATATAAAAAATAAATATATGTATATATAATAAATATATAAAATAATTAAATAAATATGTGCAGAATTTTATAAAATTGAATACAATGTCAGTAAATTATACTGTAAATTAGTAAATTTTATAAATAAATAAATATATATAATAAATATATAAAATAAATATATAAAACAAATATATATATAAATATATATAAAAAATAATATATATAAAAAACAATATATATAAAAAAAATAATATATATATAAAAAAATAAAATAGAATTTCATAAAATGCTTTTTAAATTTTATAAAATTGTATACAATATCAGTAAATTATACAGTAAATTAGTAAATTATATAAATAAATAAATAAATATATATAAAAAATAATATATATAAAAAAATAAAATAGAATTTTATAAAATGCTTTTTAAATTTTATAAAATTGTAGACAATATCAGTATAAATTTTCAGTGATAATTATATATTTATATATATATAAGATAGTAGTTAAATGGCTTATATAAATACTAGAAAATTATATAAAGCGTCTATATACATTTTCAATTGTTATACGTATTTAACATACGCATATATGTATAATACATATAAAGCTATGCAGCTTTACCGCCTGACAAGGCTGTGATTAAATTGTTTAATTAATCACAGTTAACAAAATTGTTCAAGTTGCATTAAATCATGATATTGTAAACTAATTTAAATACTACTATCTAATTTAAATAATACTCTTATTGCATAAAACACGCAATTATATACACAATAATTGTTACATATCTATGTAAACTGTCTCAGCTTAAAAGTCATTTGCTTTTCTTCATAAATAATTTCCTACCATTCCAACTTTCATGCTTTGCCAACTCAAGCACAATTTCTTGCAGTGCATAGTCGTCGTTGTTTATTCTTTTAATAATAAAGACGCGACAATTGAAATTGCTGGCGCATTGGCTAAGCAAAGTCAAAGTCAAGCAGCGGCGCGGCTCAGCCCAGCGAGGAGACAAAGCACTTAAACAGCTGTGTGAAGAAGAAGCAGCAACAGCAGCAGCAGCAGCAGCAGAGGCTGCTTGACATTTTGGTTTTCTTTTCTTATATGCTTGGTGTGTTTTTTTTGTTGCTTTGCTTCTATTTTTGGGGGGCAAGCGCAAGGATTATCACTCAAGTTCATTATGAGGCATGCCCCGATAAGATGTATGTGTGGTTGACTAGCTTGTGGTGCACACAGCTCAAGTGCTGGACGGCTGAGCTGAAGGTCGTCGTTTGTCAAGGCAAGGGCAAGGATATGAGCTCAGAAGCATAATGCCAAGATTGTGTGTATACACACACACACACACCAACACACACATAGAGATTGAGCTATAAAAATTGTGTGTGGCAAATGGGATTTAAATTACCAGCGCACAGAAGTTGCAAGTTAGGAGCAGGCGCAGAGAGCGTGAGAAAGAGAAAGAGAGCGAGAATGAGTAAGGAAGAGGAGAGGGAGAGGGAGAGAGAGCGCGCGCGACAGTGGCAGCGACACGCGGCGTATGAGCAATATCTCAATATTTCTCATACGCAGCGTGCCACCAAATCACGCTTTGATGTGTATAGACGCGTATATATGAGCAAATATCTAGATGTATGTATGTATGTATATAATATATGTATATATATACACACATTTATATTGAATGCCTTTTGTTAGCCACTTGAATTTTATTGGCCCCACGCACACACACACACACACAGACATACACACACACAAACTTTAACAATGCTGCTGCTCTGTATTGAGTTAGGTCTTTGAGTTTTGGGCTAAAATCAAATGTAAACTGCTTGAGCGTAGCTTTTGGGCATTTATTTGCCAGCTTTTTAGGCCGCATATTAAGTTCGTTTTATTTTTTCATTGTTGTTGCTGTTGTTGTTGCTGCTATTATTGCATAGGCATTTTGGTAAATTGTTCATTGTTTGCCTGCTCCCGTTGAGTGCACTGCATTTGGGCCCAACCAAAAAAAAAAAAGAGCGTCTCTCATGGGACATTAGGTCGCGCGTCTGGGCCACAAGCTTGTAGTTGACATCCACACATTTATGGCCACATACAGTATTTATGTTCGTGCATAAATATTGTGTTTACCGAGCCCTAACCTTCTATTATTTAAATATTGACAGCTAACTTTATTGTTTGCCCGTTGAGACAATGCGGACAGTGAGACAGTGTAGGGGCTGCACGCATAGCACAGCATCTTCATAAATAATCAAATAATACATGTTCTCAGCGCTTCTTTATTTAACTTGACAATTGCCGTTTGCCTAAGCAATTCGCATCGCTGAGCTACCTTATTCGCACTCAGTTATATAACATTATGAGCAGCAGCATAGTTGGATTGTGTTTATAATAATTGAAAAAAGGCAAGAAAGAGAGAGAGAGAACAACTTTTTGCTAAAGTTTTTCACAAAGTGCATGGAAATTATAATGCCAACTCATCTGGAATAAGTGACAGCCGCAACAACTTTCGTAAGTTTTGCACAACAAACAACTTGAAATACATTTCATCTCATCTTTATAGTTTTTTTGTTGTTGCTAGTTTTCTCCAGTTCTCGACTCAAGTGGGCGGCACAAATGGCGTCGGCGACGGCGGCTGCGAAACTTGTTCAAGTTTTTGCTTAACATTTTCCAACCATTTACAGTCGTAATCTCTCAGTGCTCTAGGGTTTTAGGGTCCGTTTCTATATGCCATTTGGTTTTTATATAGTTATATAATGAGCTGAGTTGATAAAATCTTTGATTATACCCATTCCACTCAGGCTGCAGACAATCACAATTCTCTGTCTCCATTGCCACGTTTTAAGCCAACATCAATTTTAATGGCTTTAATTCTATTGTAATTTGCTTTCAGCACAAGCAAGTTCTAGATAAAGACGTAATATTGCACAAGCCAACGCTAATTGCGTTTTTCTTTGCAATTTTCACAACCTCAATATAGCTTATTTGAGTTGGAGTGCTAATTGAATTATGGAAATATTACATATATTGTAGTATTCTATTCTATTCTACTATTACTATTACATATTATTGTGTTTAAATGCTTATAAACATGAGAGAGAGTTTTAGTGCTATTTGGGTATTAATTATATAATGTAATTTTTCAGTATATTTTATATTATACCAATTTTATATTATTTACAATTTTCTTATTTTTATATAATATACTTTTTTAGTTTTATTTCGTTTATATTTATATAAAATTAAAATTATGCATTTTGTACCCATAATTTTTTTTTATTCATATTTTATTTATTTATTTTATATATTTTAAATTTATATTTGTAAATTTTATTTTTTAAGATTTTTTTTATATACAATTTTTATTTTTATATAAATTTATTTATATTATATTTTGAAATTTTTATATTATATTATAAATAGTTGTTTTTGCATAGATTTTTAATTCAACTCAAATATTTTTATCTAAATTTATTTTAAATTTTAACCAAGTTTTTTTAACAATGTTTTTTTACCTTATATTTATTTTTTTAAAACCAGGCAACTAAAACTCAGATTCAAGTCCCAGATATGCGTTGCGTTATTGCCTTAGTTAATCGAATTCTTTAAAGAACATTACACAGAATAATGCAAAAGATTGCTTTAATTTCACTTCTCATGACTTCATATAAAGCAAGCATTTATAAGGAGTTTTCAATCATCTCTAAACAGTATATATCGATATATACATTTACAATTTTAATGATGTCTAGATGACTAGGTGTGCTAAATCCCTTACACCTCTCTCTCTCTCTCCCACTCCACTCTGCGCAAACACAGTCAAACACATTATATCAGCGCTCTATGTGATTTTCATAAAATGCAAATGAAGCTCGCTCCCACTCAAACCTGTTACTACCTGTTACTGCGCGATTGCACATGCTTCTCGCAACTGCTTTTATAACGAACTTCCACTGCTCTTTGCCTTTCAGCACAGCCGAACAACGACAGAGAATTGAACAACAACAACAACAACAAGTGTAAATATGTCAAGCTTGAGGAAGACCACAGCGGCGCTGATAAAGCGCACCAACTACTCCGCAACGTCGACGCTGTTGCCCCGAGCCGGTGGCGGCGGTGCGGCCAATGCAGCAGCCGCACCACATGACGGCGTGGGCGTGGCAACGGAAATTGAAAAATCTTTGGCGTCTGGAGCGATGCAGCGACAGCGACAACAACAACAACAACAACGAATCGATACTGCAATCAGCAGGTGAGTTTTGACAGCTGGCAATACCTGCTGCATGCTCTGACATATAATTTGCAGCAGCAACACGGCAACAACAACAACAGCAGGCACAGCAACAACAACAACAACGACAGCAACACCTGCTGTGCGTCCCTATGAGGAGGTGCCCGGGCCTTATCCATTGCCATTGATTGGCAATTCCTGGCGCTTTGCGCCACTAATTGGTTAGTTAAACATGCGATTTAGCACACCCACACACACACACATACAGAGTATCGCTTAACACATATACAAACGATTTTCATAGGCACGTACAAAATTAGCGACCTCGACAAGGTAATGCACGAGCTGCATATCAACTACGGCAAAATGGCCAAAGTGGGCGGACTCATTGGGCATCCGGATTTGCTGTTTGTGTTCGATGGCGATGAGATACGCAACATATTCAAAAAGGAGGAGGCCATGCCGCACAGGTAAGCATGCCATGCCCACTCAATGTGTGTGGGGAGGGGGGCGGAGGGCGTTAAGCCCAGCCGAGCAAACATTTCCACATGCATATTTGAAAATCCCCAACAGGAGCTTTAAACGGAGCTTATTATTAAATAATTAGCTTGCAACGAGCATGGCAATTTCAGACAGTGCTAAGAGTGTGTGTGTGTCTATATATATATATGTATATATGGAATTATAGTTTAGGCTAAAATGAAGCTTATTTGAATTTGCGAGAACGAAAGCAAATGGCTATGAATCAAATGTTTGCCAACTGAGCAAATGTAAAGTTTGCTTTGGGCTGTAAGTAATATGGCTAGCGGACGAAAGAGCTTAAACATATGATAGAGACTTTAGAGAAAGAATTTACATAGACAATAAAGATATGTATTTCAATTGAATTTGGTGTCTACTATATTAATATTTTTTATAAATATTAATTACTTTTTATATGCATACATTTTTATAAAATATAATAAAAAAAAAAATATATAGAATTTTTTGATATTATATTTTTAACTTACTTATATAAAAAATAACTTATTTATTTTTTATAAAATTTAATATAAAAAATAATTTATTTATTTTTTATAAAATATAATATTAAAAATATATATTATTTTTTATATTATAAATTTAATTTATTTTTATTTATTATAAAAAAAATTTTTTTTTATTTATTCATATACATATATTTTTATAAAATATAATATAAAAAATATAACATTTCTTATATTATATATTTTATTTATTTATATAAAAAATAATTAATTTGGGTAAAAATAAAAATCAATTTAATTTTAATCACGCAACAACCAAAATAATGCAAAACTAAGCACAGAGAGACTAACTAAAATAATCAATACATGTATATGAATATATAAATCTCTCTCTTCACTTCAGACTCTAGCTCCCAAACATAAATGTAGTATTACATAATAATTTCTGCTACGCAGACAAAGCGAAATTACAGCATAGCAATTGCAGCTTAAGTTGGCTCGAATAACTGCAGCCTAATTGACATACGTAATTTAATGCATGGCTGCATTCAAGCAGACGTCACTGTAATATAATACAGCCCACACACAAGCAAGCGCACACACACACACTCGCACACACACACGCTCAGTATTCATACGATATCCTTTTACATAGCATCGATTTAATGCGCCTGGGTTTGTATTATTTATGCGCACATTGCATTAAATTCATAATTAAATTATTTCTGTGTGCATGGAAGCAAAGGATTCGCCTCCTGTTTGCCATTCTGCTTGATAATTAGTTGTAATTATAATGCCATTTGGCCAAATTACGTGCACAATTTGGCCAATTAGAATGTGCGTGTGCGTGTGTGTGTGTGTGTGTGAGTGTGGCAGCTGATTAAGAGCTGCTCGAAATATTTGAGCCAACAATTTTGAGCACAAATCAAAACCACAAAAAAAACTTTCACTAGGCCTACAAAGAAACCGCAAAAAAATATAAAAAAAAAATATTTACAAAAAATTGTAAGAAAATAAAATAGAAATGAATATATAAAAACGAAAAAAAAGATAAAAATATATGTATATACATACATAAATATAAAAAAAAGCTAAAAATATTTGAATGCGAATAAACTAGGCATATTCAAACAAATATATATATTTTTTCTTTTTAATTATGAATTTGTAAATATATACATTTGGTTTTTCATATGTAAATACATATTTTTTCTCTCTTTTAAATATGAATTTATATATGTTCAAATTTGTTTTTCATAACAAGAAAGCCAGCTCTTGAGGCCAGCTTGTTAAACTTTCTTTTATTCAACGCGTTGGTTGTCTTTTTATTTTTATATTTTTTTTCTATTTTTTTGCGTGTTCATTTGGCCATGAACCAATTTCTGTGCAGAGCGCAAAAAAAAGATAAATATAAAATAATAAGCATCCAGTAGACGCGTCAAAAACAAACTGCAAAAAAAAATTGTAGTTGACTTTTAAAGCTTATATTTAGCAAGTCATCATGGGAGGAAAGAGCATAGCAGAGAGAGATAGAGAGATAGATAGAAAGAGAAAGAGAGAGCGAGAGCGAGCGAGATGTGCACATACAAAGTATAGATAATAAATTGACATAAAGCGCAAATGCGTTAAGGTGAGCAAATGTTTAAAGATTGAAAGATTGATGAATGCGGCGTCGCTAATTGATTGATATATGTGCAGAAAGCAAACAAAAATTTATACATACATATATCGCGTATATATGTGACTGACTGATTGATGAAGACATTCAAAGTAAAACTTTACGCCTCGCGTATGGCCCCAAACAGCAGCAGAAAACGTAGCAAGAAGCTAAAATCTTTGTTGTAGCTTTTTTATGTCTCACATAACTTTAGAGAGTGTGTGTCTGTGTGTGTGTGTGTGTGCGAGTGTGTGTAAGACATATAAAATATACATAAACTCGAGATTAGATGCCCAGTTGTTATTGTTAGTCTTATTGTTGTTGACAGTCGTTAAAGAGACAAAACGCAGACACATTGTCTAGCCAATTGTGGCCAACTGGCTGGAGCTTATTGGCCTACTCTTTCGAAATCTAGCTGCAACTCACGTCGACGGCTTACACATGTTCAAGAGCAAAAAGAAACACGAAACATAAAAATATGCATAAACATATAAATTCGATTAAATCTATTTCAGCGCAGCCCTTTGATAATATTGTTTTTCATTTCATTAATTTGTTTTTTTTTTTACGCCCATCTCTGGCATTTGACCTTTGAGTGAACTGGTTGATGAGCTCAGCTGTCAGCGTTGCATAAATGTAAATGAAATGCACATTATAAATTATACAAATATTTTAAATAGCGCTTCAGTGGGCAGCCGACGACTAGACGGCATTCATGTAAATGAAATGCATACAAATATTTTAAATACCATTCCAATGGAAAGTGGGCGACTTGAAGATACTGCAGAGATGTCAGTCAACCCATTCAATTGTAATTTTATAGAGTTCTTAAATTTCTTCTGTTGAAGCGCAGTGAGTGCATAGAAGCTTTGCTAAGCTGCCTCATTAGCAGCAATAATGAGCAAAAGCACGAACATGATATCATAATAATCATAATAATCATAATCATAATCAGTATATTGTAAGAGAATTATTATTATATTTTTGTTACAAAACTCTCCAAGTTCCACTAATTTCATCTCATTTACGCTGGACAACAAAGATTTAGTTGATCTATGAGCTCATTTCAAGGCAGAACAGGTTTGCTGCATGAATAAAAATACATTTCAGGAGTAATCAAAAACTGGTTTAAACCAAAGAAAGAAGCAAAATAAATAAAAACTAAGCGAAAAAAAAAATTCGATTCTTTTTTTGTGCTTGAGTGTGAGCAGAATATTTATGAATAGAGTTCTCAGACTATAAATTGCATTTAAACAAGTAAAATAGAATGATTTTAAATATGCTCAGAGAAGATAGATAGATATAAACAATATAGAAAAATATATATAAATTTAGATGTAGCTAAACAAGTCTAGAATAAATTGAATATGTGAATAGATTAGATTTAATATATGCTCGCATGAAATCTAATTAAAAATCTCCGGTTTTAAATAGAGATCTAATTAGAGAGATTTCAATTATGTTCAGATTTTGTTATCTCTGAGCAGCCAACATGAGCGCACAACAAAAGGGAATGAATTTGAAAAGAAAGTTGATTTGCAAAAACAAGCAAACAAACAAAATCTCCAACGATTTCTAAGTAAAGAGTCTTAACGAGCTGCTATAAAACGCAATTTTGCAAGAAATACCATTAAAACATTGTTGAAAAGAAAGGCAGCCGCAATCTAGCCTGAATGCCCCTAATGTGCGTGTGTGTGAGTGTCTAAATAAAGTCATATGACTTTTGTTTTATGCCATTTAATTGAATATTGTTGCCTGGGGCAACGAGCACAGCAAATAGACAAACAAACATGTGTGAGTGCGAGTGTGTGTGTGTAATGGAACCTACTAAGCGCGACAACACCCTAGCCCAACAGCCCACACTTGGCTATAAAATGCCAAGTCGTAAAACAAAATAAAATGCGACTATTTATATAGCGACATGCGAATTTATACAAGATACACAAATGTATCTGTATCTTGTTGTTGTTGCTTGTTTGTCTCACGCGAGCATTTGGTAACTGAATAATGTAAGGCACAAGCCATGTTTAGAGAGAGTCAAGCATTTGACATCATGTTCCTTAAAAAGCATCAAATTGCGCATACGCCGCATTGCCGGCTCATCAAATATATATATGTATATACCCTTGTATGTATGCTTGTCACTTTATATATGTATGTACATCTTTTACTTCTTGGCAGACCCTCGATGCCCTCGCTGCGACATTATAAGGGTGAACTGCGCCGCGACTTCTTTGGCGATGTGGCTGGTCTAATTGGCGTGTAAGTATTACGTTGCATTTGGCAACGTTTCGCTCATCCATTCACTCACCTGCACCCACCCACCTGCTCGCAATTAGGCACGGTCCCAAGTGGGAGGCATTTCGCCAGGAGGTGCAACAAATTTTGCTGCAACCGCAGACGGCCAAGAAGTACATACCCCCGCTGAATGATATAGCCAGCGAGTTTATGGTGCGGTAAGTCAGTTGGCACCTGCCCAGCCTCAGGCTCAGCTCACATTTTCCGTTTTATAGCATAGACGAGATGCGCAACGAGCAGCAGGAGCTGCCTGACAATTTTCTCCACGAACTGTACAAATGGGCGCTCGAATGTAAGCCACAATGATGTTTATAGGCTCAAATAGTTGGCCAGATAAAAAAGGATTTTTTTCTTATTTTCCTTTCTATTTTTTTTTTTTGTTTGTCCTTGCAGCGGTGGGCCGTGTTTCGCTGGACACACGACTGGGCTGTTTGTCACCGGAGGGCAGCGCTGAGGCACAGCAAATTATTGAGGCCATCAATACGTTCTTCTGGGCGGTGCCAGAGCTGGAGCTTCGCATGCCCCTGTGGCGTCTCTATCCCACAAAGGCCTATCGCAGTTTTGTGCGCGCCCTGGATCAATTTTCTGCGTAGGTTGCGACACGCCTCCATTTCACATCACATTTATATCTATATATATATATGTGTATATATCTTGATGGATTTAGCATTTGCATGAAGAACATCAGCCAGACAATGGACAAGGCCGACGCGGACCAGGCCAGCGCTATAGCCAAAAGCGAGGCAGACATCTCCATTGTGGAGCGCATCGTTCGCAAGACAGGCAATCGAAAGTTGGCAGCTGTCTTGGCCCTGGATCTGTTCCTCGTGGGCGTCGATACGGTGAGTAATTGTTGCCAATAGTTGCATAAAGTCGAAAGCTTTCGCAAAATTGCACCACTTGAAATATATCTACATATATATGTACATATATAGTATGCCGTATAGCTTAAGGGTATTCGATACGTATTTGCATTCTGATTGGAATGGCGCAGCTATCTGATTTGCATGCCAATTTGAATACTTAAAGTGGCTTTGTTTGCACAGCTAAAACTAAAGTTCTGAAATGCCATTTCCTTGATTGATTTGTAATTACTGAAGCAGGATTCTAGGCTCTTATTTTATATACTATACTATTTACTTTCAGTTTAATAGCTAGTGTCTATAAGGGATTAAGCTGATGTCTATTAATATATACATTGACTATTAATATATACAAAAATAAAAAGAAATTATTTAAAAAAATTAAATAATATAAAAATTTTGGTATGCAAAATTATACAAAAATCTATTGAAATTGCATTATTATGATGAACATAATTTAAATTTAATATTTAAAAAAGTCAAAAAATTATTATAATGTAATTTATGTATATATTGAGCTCAATTTTATTATTATTATAATTTTTTTATTTAATTTAATTCATTTATTTTTTGGCTACCATAAAAAATAAAATTTATATTCCTAATTTTTTTTTATATTCCCTTCTCCTTCATAACATATCTTCTGCTATATAAAATATTTAAATTAAATTCCGGTTATGAATACAAAGAACTTTGAATGAATATTTATTTATCACTTTGTTTTCCCTTTCTGTTCTAAAGTTTTGTTTTGCATTTGTAAAAGGCTTATCAGCATATAATTCCCCTTTAATTTACGCATATATTTACACACAAACACGCCGACTAAATGGCAAATGAATAGATTATCAATAGCTGGCGTCGTTTTTTCCATATACATTTTCACATCATATCCATGGCATTCAAAATGAACGACAAATAATGGCTGAGTGTACTATATACATTTGCTGTAATCTAAAAAAGATAATCGAATGACACAATCATTATTGCCATTACGCCAGGCTATAAATAAAGCTCATTAACTAATTAACGCACAAGTTGCGAAATATATACATACATATAAGTCTACATATATATATATATACATGTATGTATCTATATATAGCTAACTTTCATCCCGTTTTTGCAGACTTCGGTTGCCGCCTCGTCGACCATTTATCAGTTGGCCAAGAATCCGGATAAGCAGCAGCGTTTGTTCGAGGAACTGAAACGTGTGTTCCCAACGCGCGACGCACAAATCAATCAGCATGTCCTCGAGCAGATGCCCTATATGAGAGCGTGCGTCAAGGAGACACTGCGGTAGGTCCACTAGTGATATATACCCACGCACAGGTGCTCTATATAGATGGTCTCTCTCTTTTTCTCTTTCTCTCTCTCCACCTTTACAGTATGAAGCCGGTGGTCATTGCAAATGGACGCAATTTGCAGGCAGATGCTGTTATCAATGGCTATCATGTGCCAAAGGGCGTAAGTGGGCGTGGTTGTTGTCAAAGAAACTTTTTTACTCTCTCACTCTCTATTCTTTTTCTCTCTATCTCTCCCCTGCAGACGCACGTCATCTTTCCACACTTGGTGGTCTCAAATGATCCCACTTATTTCCCGGAACCCAAACGTTTTCTGCCCGAGCGCTGGCTCAAACAGGGCGCAGGTATGTGCGAAAAGCGGACGTGGAAATAGTAGTTATTTCTATTTTTCATTTACAACTTTTTCATTTCAGCTGAGGGCTGTCCGCATGCGGGCCAGAAGATACATCCCTTCGTTAGCCTGCCCTTTGGCTATGGACGTCGCATGTGCGTGGGTCGGCGTTTCGCTGAAATCGAGTTGCATACGCTGTTGGCCAAGGTAAGGACTTAGGGAGAGACAGGGACAGTGTGATATGGAATTTTAATTGTCTCCTGTTATGGCAGATCTTTCGCAAATACCACGTATCCTATAATTCCGACGAATTTGTGTATCGCGTCAATTCCACGTATATACCTGAATCGCCGTTAAATTTCAAATTGACGCCACGCGAAGAGTGAGCAATGGAGAAGAAGCAGAAGGAGGAGGAGGAGGAGGAGGAGCAGCAGCAACAGTAGCCGCTGAGGATTTGCAGCTGTCGCACAACGTGGCGGCTGTGTGATATTTTTAGCAGCACGCATATTTTTGTTATTGTTGCTGCTGTTGCTTTTGCTGTTTGGTTTCCATTTGCTTGACTGTCACGCGTTTGTCTTTTTTTCTTAATTAAGCAAATGTATCTCAGGCAGGACACTGACAGCAGCGGCAGCAGTAACTTTGTACATATATCTCTATATCTATCTATCTATATATCTTTGTTTATGTATTCGTGTTAGTCATCAATTCTAGTTTTACTGTACGCAGCCAAAAGTCGTAGTCAATAAAGAGCCTAAAAGTATGCAACGTGTTTTTCTGTCTCTGTGTATGTGTGTGTTTTTTTTTGTTTATGCTACATTAATCATGCAAGCGCCCGGAATGCAATGGAAGTGGAACACAGCCACACATTAGCGTATGTGAAACGATTATTCATGGGGATTAGTCTGTTTTATGTGATGTAAATGTTGAATTTTATATACACATATACCGCTATATATATATATATATCATGTGTCACATATGCTGTGCATGTAATGCCTTTGATGAATATGTGATTAATTGAGGCTGCAGCATTCCGTTTATATTCAAGGTCATGAGACTTAGCAGTAAGCCTTTGATTCATGACTAAATTTAATGAATCAGTACATAAATGTTTATACAATTTGTATAAAGAATGGCCTATGAACTGCATAAAGCATTGGGATTTTAGCGCTTTATATTGATTGGAAATCTTTTTTTATTTCTTATTTAAACATTTGATTTAGATTTACTTTTTATAGCTTTTGCGCTGTAAATTATAAATGTAAACATATATATTTAAATTCATTTTTCAGCATATTATTCATTTGCTGTGAAAATGTTCCCCAACTGGATTATAAATATTTGTTTTTTAATTATTAAATAATATTATGTTATATTTATTAATAATTTACTAGCTGTTGCTAATTTTATTACATCTTGTTATAAACTTAATTTGCTGAAACTGTACTGGAAATAGATTTTTATATATCTTACTCAATATTTGATTTATAAAGAAAAATAAACTTCATCCAAGTATAAATAGAACGAGCTTTATACGTTTTCTTACTAAGAAGTTCAAGAATTACTCATAAATGGACCCAGCCTTGCCTAGCTCAAGTATGTTTACTTAGTAATAAAAGAAAAAATTCTCCAAGTTTTCACAATCTTCATAAGAAAAATTCTATAGCTGCAGTGCGATATGCAGCATAGAGCTAAGGGAAGTCTGTAAAGTCTGCTCAATGCAAGAGAATTTGATTCACTTCACTCACAGCCCCGCCACCATGGCCTATAGGAAATTTCTATAAATAGTTACAAATCACAGTTGCTACTCACTATTTAGCGGAATCATTCAATTGATATTCGTTGCTGCGCGAGAAGCACTCCTGTACGCCGGCGTCTAGCCATAGCCGCTTCATGGCAGCCAGCAGCTCCTCTGAGAAGGGTTCGGTGTCGTGCATGCGTTGGCACACATCGAACACCATTTTCGCATCGCTCTAAAGAGGAGATAGAGAGAGAGAGAAAGAGAGAGACTCAGATTAGATAAACGGTATGCATTAGAATGGAATTGCGTTCGACTCACCTCCCGTTCATTATTGCTATACTGAATACTAAGATTTGGCATGGCTCGCAATATTGCAACTAATGATTGTATTGTGTTGCTGTAGACAACCGGTCGATATTGTTTAAAGTCCTCCGCAGTGAACCCGCTCTCGTGAATGATTTTCATTTGTTTGACTATTGTGCTTTTGCCCGATTCACCGGCGCCTGGAAATAAAGAAGCAACAAATATACAGAAATCAGATAAGACGCACATGCTACAAAGATATCACGCTTGGCCAATGCCTTGCAAGCTGTTGCAACATGGCTCAACAAATACCCTTGGGTTAGTGTAAATAGAAAATGTAGAGTCATATAATGTTATGGGGTTACAATTTAAATGGAGTGCATAAATATTTGTGGTAATTTTTAAAATAGCAATGGACTAAATGGAAATTTGCTCAAGTGTCATTTGGCATAAGAAATTGTAGAGGAAATATTTAGCATAATTGTTTAGATTTTATTTGTATATTTTATTTTTAATATAAATATTTAATGAATAGTAGATTGATTAATTGTAGTATGTGTTTAGTTTGTAGTACTATTATTTATTTTTGCACAAATATAAAAAATAGTTTGAGCCCAACATATTAGGATAAATAAAATAGTAATTGAATTTTACTTTTCAGTTTTTATAAGCATAAAATTTTCTGCTTTTTTTTTGGTTGGCAGCTAAAAAAATTATTTTGTTCTGATTTTTGTTGAGCTGTTGACTTATTATGCGAAAATTGTTGTAAAGCTTATTGCTACCTAAATTAATTTTTTTTTTAATATATTTTATTTTTAAATATTTTATTTACAAAATCAAAGTCAAGCCTAAGCTTTTATTGTTTCTGTTTGATGGAAATGTTGCTAAATATTATATATTTTTATAAGAGGGATGAGCACAATAATTTTAAGATCCAGATACTTTACACACTTTATACTGTTCCTTCCATATACTAAATACCTTTTTTTCAACTTTTACTTCAAAATCTTCCCAACTTTAGCAATTAAAACTATCTTATGTAATTCAGACTAAAATAAAAAGCCAAACTACCCCACACAGCACTAGTGTAGGGTATCTTTTCGCCCCAAGCCAGTGTGTGTGTGTGTGTGTGTGTGTGTGGCAAAGATGTAAAGTGCAAAATACAGAAGGCGTCTGATTATGTGCAGTGACGCAAAACGCACTCGGGGCACTTTTTCACTGTGGGCGTTACAGGGGCGGTCAACGAGGCGTGGCGGGCGGGGCTGGACAGGGCGAGGGAGGTTATAAATATTTATGCACAGATTACAAGTGCATAGTTCGTAGTTGTTGAGCTAAGTGTGTGCGCTTTGTATTATACAAGTAGAGCTTAATGGCCTTTAGCACACACACACACACACACACACACATACTGAGCACGTTATCGTGATTATGATTATCATGATCATCATTATGATTGCCATCATCATAATGGTCATCAGCATCTTATGCTCTTGGCTCGGACTTGTCCGCCGGCTGTAGCACAGCTCTGAACATAACAAAGGCTTAATTGTTGGATTTAAGTTTTTTCTCTATTCTAGTTTCAGTTTTTTTTTCTTCTTCTGCTTAACTTAGGTGGTCTACGCCCGAAATTGCTCTATTTGGATCTCAATTGGTGCCTTGTGCCTGGCTTCACTTGCATTAACTAGCCCACTTCGCCTTTGTCTACTGTCTACTGCATTTGCTGTCTAATTTTAGCCGCTTTCATTTTACACAATTTTCTGTGCAATTTTCCCCCCAGTTTTTCATTCTAATTTTCTTTCGTTCTTCACCATAATTGAGTGCGCTTTGGTGTATGTGTGTATGTGTGTGTGTGTTTGTGTATTTGTGATTTGCATGCACTTGTTGATAATCTGTGCATTTAAGTCAGCTGGAAAATTATTGCTAAAGCGCTTCACGAATTATCTTTGCTAACGATTTTCCCAGAATTTTTATAATTTATGGTACGAATGCTCAATCAAATTCGTTTACTTAATCAGGGGGAACTTTTTGCATTAGAATGTTTGTTATTTATGTTTATATTTATTTACTTAAAATGGGAACTTTAGTGAAAGATCTTAAGGTTAGTCAAAGTATAAAGTTTGAACTATGTACTGCAATAGCTACTGTAACTTCATTTGTATCTGGTATAATAATAATATTTAGTATCTGGTATCTAGTATCTAGTATCTAGTATCTAGTATCTAGTATCTGGTATCTGGTATCTAGTATCTAGTATCTAGTATCTAGTATCTAGTATCTAGTATCTAGTATCTTGCATCTAGTATCTAGTATCTAGTATATAGTATTTAGTATTTAGTATTTAGTATTTAGTATCTAGTATCCTGTATCTTGTATCTAGTATTTAGTATCTAGTATCTAGTATCCTGTATCTAGAATTCAGTATCTAGTATCTAGTATCTAGTATCTAGTATCTAGTATCTAGTATCTAGTATC